ATTTACACGCGATATGCCAACCCAACAACAACAAGTGGAAGTTGAACCACAACAATGAAGGCAACCGAAACAGAGATGGCGAATACCAAATGCCGAACGGCAAAACGAAATATTGTAGACTATTTAAAAAATTTATGTGCGGATGTTTTGCCGTCGGGATATTTCCGGTTTATGATGATTATGTTTTGTGTGCGCTTCCTCTGCCCTCTTCCTTTTCGTTTATTTTTAACAAGCGGATTACTTGGCGCCAACCCCCAAGTTTTCTCTTCATTTTTTTTTGGTTGATAACGCCCCTTCAGCGCACTTTTCTTCTGACGCTTTGTTTGTTTCTACTTCCATTCCATTCATCGTGCATAATAATAAACTTAATTTGGTTTATTCTTTATTTTTTATTCACTTTTTTATGTATACATTTGCCTAGCAAAAAAATTGTTGCGTGTGCATTTTAATTATTGTTTTGCAACTGTTTTTTTATGTTTATTGGTTACTTTTTGCTGGTCTTGTTTGATTTGCGCGATAAAAGTCTTTTACACATTTCTGAGGCCGTTTTTACTTGTTCACTGTAATTTATGTTTTCCACTGACAGTAAGCGTGAATTGCAATGCTATGGAGTAATTATTCTTTAAAGGTGAAAGACAGCAAACAACCTTTTCGTTGCTCTGCATTTGTGAATATGAACAATAACAGATATATGTAAATGAATAAGCCTGTATTTAATTGCCACAAAAATCTCTTTTTACTAAAAATTAAATACTAATGTGAAAGGAATCTTCTCAACATTGAGTAAAGCGTTTAAAAAAATTGTTATTATCAAGCAATAAAATTTTAGCCAATGAAAAAAATCAGTTTTAATTACTGCCATGAATGCAGAGGGTATTATAATTTCAGTTCAAAGATTGCAATGCAGTTTAAGGTACATTTGGACTTCTTCAGTTCTCAACTTTACCAAATTTAAGCCGATTTGTAATTTTAAATTTGTCACTTTAAAGTAGACTATTTTTTTTAAGTTTTCGATGATTTTTAAAAAGGTGACCCATAATAAAACTTTCACCGTTCATAACTTTACCAAACTTAAGCCGATTTCAAAGTGACAAAACTCATAAGACTGGTTGTTTGATTCTCTTAAAGTCTGCCGCCAAATTTGTTATTTTAACATTGATAAATTTGTTGAGCCATTTCATGTTAGTTATTGTTAAGTTTCCGCATACTTGTAAAAACTGATCCACAATTGGACTTCTAGATTTAAAGCGGACTTAAAAATTAAGTTAATCCCTACTACCAGCCATTAAGCCTGTAAAGCATTTTAGTTACAATTTTCAGATACAAATTTGCTCATGATTATTTGAGTTGTTACCTAATTTATGAAAATTCGTATACCCTTTTTCACTCTTAAAAAGCGCTCCCTTAAAGTGTGACAGCAACAATAATATGTCGCGAAACCAAAAAAAAATAGGAACTGGAAATTAATTTGGAAAAGGAACCAAAAAAAAAAAAGGGAACAAGGAACCGGAGAGTAGAAAAGCGAGATACCAATAACAAGGGCTGGAACACAAAAACCAACAATGGAGTAAGGGTTTTTTTTTGGTGGGGGGAGTTGGGTATTATTTTTATTCCTTTATACAAAAGGCGACATCGTCTGGCTTTTATTATGCTTGGCCATTCGCTGTTGTTGGTAGCGGCGGTGGCTGTGTATGTGGTGGGGGCTTGGGGCTTGGTCAATGGCCAGCAGCCACAAAAAGTAATCTCTGAGCATAAACGCATATCCTGGACTGCAATTATGCCAAATGTTGAGCATAATGCCACCGCAATTTTCATTACCGCACACGACATGGCCAGCGGACATGTGTGTGCGACCCTCTCACACCCGTCCGCCAAAAATAAATGCTAAATTTTGATACACATTTCGTTGGCGGTGTTAAGCTCTGAAACGCTTATTAGGCCGGGCCAACAAGCGGCATGAACCAGCACAGACGGGGTTTAGCAGAAGGAAAATACAAAAAAAAATAGAAAAAAAAACAATAACTGGGCTTTAACCCAACAATGCCGGAGCTGCATGTACGCCTCATAAAAGTCTAATTAATTAAAATCGTGCCCGACCAGCCAGCGGCAATCCCAAAGCCGATGTGCCAGCCTCAGCGGCAACCTCGGCGTCAACGCTGCGTATGCGTAATACGCTCTGGGACTTTCGCCACGATGGCTGGCTGACTGGTTGGCAGGCGCTAATTAAAAGCCTGCCTCATAACTTTTCTAACCAAAAATGTGTATAAGAGTCATAGGAATATTAAAATAAGGGGCTTTATCGATGTGACGAATCGGATATGCTCTCTAATTCAATTTTGTGGTAAAAGCTGGGTAATAAAAGGGTTTTATAACACATGAGAGGTAAATACAAAATGTGTTTGAAAAATGTACTTTACCAAACTAGAAGTATTGATAAATCCATAGGATATTTTTAGTTCGAAAAAAGTGTAATTCAAAATTCAGTAAAACCCGTTATTATTATTATGAACATAATTAATAATTAACCAATTTAAACATGGAAAATTTATTTTAATTATGGCCTCTGTTTAAATTACTTTAAAATAACTTTTTTATTTGTGCTCTGTCGAAATCAGACGGTTAAATAATTCGTTATTATTAAAATAGTTCAGGGTAAAAAAAAACAATAATAAAGTACTTTTTAATGTATCTTAGACGAAGAGTATATTCTTAAGACATATATATACTAACCCCTAAAGAAAATAAGAAACTCTGCTGGTCATATCCTCTTTATGGCCATCGTAGGCATGTGTTATAAAGTCAATCTGCCCTGGAAATAGTAGTTCTTGGCCCAACATTTAGTTCCTGTATCCCCAGCAATAGCCAGCATCAACCCACAGAGACTTGGTAGCAGTGATGAAAATCACTTTTAATAAACTTCTTTCCTACTATTGATGATTTTTATTGCGCGAGGTTTTCCCGAGCTCAGTCCGGGATGTTAATTAGATTTTAGTATGCCTGTGCTGTTGTGTGTGTGTGGGTTTGTCCTTTGTGCGCTTGTGACGGGGGCCAGATAATGCCAGCGGGGATTATGGCTTATTAAAAGGCTTATGAAAGTCAAAAGAAAAGTTTACTTAATTTCAGTTAGTTAAGCGCCAATGAAAGCCGCCCACTTGAGTATTGGCCAACGCCAACAATAAGGGACAAAGTTTGCCTCGGCGCCTTTGCCAAATGGCCAATAAAATTGGCCTGACTTAGGTCAACTCCTCATCGCCCAGTGCCTCGCGAGGCTTTGGCAATTTTACAAGAATTTTCGGATTAGACTCGCCGTCAGTTTATGGCCGGATCATAAATTCAAATGTTGCAAACAGAAAATCAAATAAAAATCTGCAATAAACATCAAATTGACAACACGTTGAGTGCAATTTGGTTTTGTGCCGGCCTGGTCCTTTTTCGGCTAACTTATTAACATGCCAACGTTTGACACACATTTTATTTGGTTTCTTTTAGGTATACTTTTGGCATAACTAGGTGCACATTCTTGTGGGTAAAATTCGATTTTTATAGATTTTCGTTTTCAATTACTAGTACCAGCTTTTAAATAAATTTGATGAACTGGAAAATACGATGTGCACTGATCAATTAAACTTTTGAATGTTATTAAATTAATATATATTGAATATAGGAAACAATAATTATTGTTTATTTAATTTGTCATAACATTTAGTATGTTTTATTCAATGTGAAATTAATTACTTTCTCTATTCCAGTTTGAAAAGCTCGCCTATTAAAGAGAGCTGGGTAAATATTGATATGAACAAAATGCAATCAAGCTATCTAATCAATGAACAAAGCATACAAACGCTGTAAGAGTTATCAGAACACCTGTATTTATTTATCCAATTTACCGACCGATCACTGTAGTTGGATCCCCTTTTACCTTGGCTATCGATGGACCGTCACAGACATTCCGCTTCAATGGTTATGAAGGGGAAGTTATACACTTTCGAGTTCACCCTTTTCGAGTTCTGTCGACCAGCCGACTTCGACTTCTTCTGGTTCACGTTTTTGGGGGTATTTCACCCAGCAATTGTGGGAGCAATTGTGCGCACTTTTTTACCATCTTGTCCTGTGCATTTTAATGTCCTTTTTCCCTCCAGCATTCTCTTTTTTCAATTCGCCTTTTATTTTCTTTCTGTTTTTTTTTTTGGTGGAGAGTTGAAAAGATGCTGGGCACGTGCTGATTGATGTAAAATACGTAATGAGCGCGGTTATGTTTATGGTCGAAAAAAGGAAAAGGGTTTGGATAGATAACGATTGGAGAAGGTAGAGTTTTCTAATTATAATATACATGACAGTTAAGAGGGGAGCAGTCTTTCGGTCTTTCCTTTCGTAATTTCCACCATTTTAAATATTTTTCTTTGTCCAAATAAAATAATCATGACCTAATTGCTAAAGCACTAATGTGGTTGGGTAAATTTAATTATGCGACTTTTATAATATGACCGCTATGCCATTCTAGATTAATTATACATTTCATATTCCAAATAAAACTAATGAATGACCACAAATATTGCTTAATAACCTATGAAAAGAAATATTAACAAATTGCAAATGGTTTGTAGTCTCATTAATTTTTTTTTAAGTGAAAACATTTATTTGGCGCTTCCAGGGCTGACTGATTAGATAATTTATTATCAGTGCGATAGAAACACTTACAATAAATGCAGTTATTTCTTTTGCGCTACACGCGATTTTAGACGGCACATACCAATACATACATATATATATAATTTAGATTAGCGAAACGTAAGGTTAAAACCGTAAACTTTCTTATTGATTTGTTAAATAATAAAGTTTAGTAACCAATTTGCGATGTAATCAGCCTTTTATTAAAAGGAAATTGAATTGAAAAAGCCTTAAGCTTTAGTAATTAAATACTTCTGCCAACGTTTTTATAATATACATATATATATATATATACAACTACTTATTTTTATTTACAGCTAGTCTTAAAATAAAACACTGTCCTAAAATAGTTAAATTTAACCCTTCTTCCCTCGGGATATATATTTAAGATCCAAATGTTGGCCATGTATTAATTTGTTTTCTATTCTCAAGTTTACCTTATCATGGGCACATTAAATCTGTATTCAAGGTTTCTTGTGGCCAATGCGACCAGTTTCCAACCGAGGAAGATTACAATCATAGCACTTAGTCCGATTCGTCCAAAAAGCACCGAAACAACATCCACATTATAGTATTGCATCAGGGACATTTCCTGCTCGGCGATTCGCATATGATCGGCTCCCTTGTGACGCAGGATATATTCTGTCCACCAAATTGCAGTCTCCATAGCCGACATTGGTTGGTCATGAAATCGGTTAGACAAATCCCGGGCATTTTGTTTATAGCTAGCATTTAGCAACATATTCTCAATGACCATAACAATGCCATCGCTGGTGAGATCTGTGTAATCCAGACTTCGGGCCACGCCCAACTGCTCCATGCGTTTGGTGTTCTGAAACTGATCGTAGTATAAAGGAATACAGAGCTGGGGAACCGCATAGTGAACAGCTTCGATCGTGCTCAAGACGCCTGCATGATTGATAAACAGCTTCACATTGGGATGATTAAGGATTTCCCGCTGGGGAAAATATGATCTCGCATACACATTCTTTGAATTATTAAACAAAGCTGGATTATTGCTTTTCCAAATCACTTGCTGCTTTAATTGTGCAAAGGCGGCCAACAATGTATCCTGCATTCCCGGGGGCAGCCACTTATCCAGGACTTGCAGACCCATTGAAAAATATATGACTCCATGTTCGGCCTCATCCAATAGAAGTTTAAGCTCCAGATCCAAGGGTTTTGTAGGCTCAGCCAAGTGCATGCCGGCCACTTCAACAATATTGGGAACATTACTGCGTACTCGACCCATGCTAAAATGCTGATTAATCAGGATAAGCGAGAATCTCCGGCGGAGATCATGAATACTGGCTGACGCTTCGGGAAAGTACTGCTTGTAGAGATCGATTTGGTCGGGCAGGTAGATAAACCGCTCCACCAGACGCTCCTCGGTGATGAAGATCAGGTTGTGCCACTTCTCCATCAGACTGTGTCCGGGTGAATAGCCCAAGGCGGACATCGGCTCGTAGACACTCGGTGCTGAGTTCCCCACCAGGAAGTCAATGTTCCACGCCGATCCGTAGGCGGCAATCCCCACCAGCGGTGCATTAAAGTGCTGCGAAAATCCGTATAGGGCATCGGTGTGTGAAGCCTCCAGAATTACCATCGAATACTGGGCACTTGAGTTGTGGAGCAACTCCTGCACCCCAGGATCTCCCAATACGTATCGCGAACAGTTGTAAAAGTATTCGGACACAAACTGAGCCTCCATCCATTTGCTTAGTTTTAAGTCGAAGTCATAATCTAGAAGCTCTGTAAGTGATTAAAAATGACTTATTTGAAATATAAAAAACATTTACTATTTTATGACAATTTAAATTTTGGTAAATCAAATTCCAGACTAACACATAAAATATCATAAAGCTGTAACTAAGTATAACGATATTTCTGCATCTCACTGAATCATGTCGATATCAAAATACAATTTTTTATAGTGTATACAGCCAAAGGTTTCTATTCAACCCTAGCTGTATTATTGAATCCAATATTTTAAAGCAAATATTGGGACTATAATTCAAAATTATGGTCAATAAAAGTAGTGTTTTTTCCTAATCAAATAGTTATTTAAAGTATTTAGCTTGCTGAGGGTAATTACCTTCCATTAGCATATCCAATTTAGGCACGCGTATGTGATGAACACCTTCTATGTGGGGCATTTCTGAGACGGACGATATCACAGTCAATTGGTGACCCCTCTGGGCTAGGCTCTTCAAATACGGAGTGATCAACAGATAGGATGAGCCAAAGGTGTACGAAAAGATGGCCAAAATGTTCTCCGTTTCTGCCAGTTTTGGGCCCAGCAGGCCAAATATCAAAGCTGGTAGCAGCAGACCAGCAATGCCCGAGCCCCCAGACATTTCACGCAAATCGACCGCCCATACCGATGCCCGAAGCGATACTGTTTTGGTCAAAATACCGCGACAGACATGCTTGATGGCGCAATCTAATCAGTACAAAAAATGAGCAAAATTGCGCAAACGTTCGAATTGAAACCACTCCAGTTAGTCAGTTGAAAAGCGGGCGCTCGATCGATATGTTTCCCTCGGGGCGATGGCTTTTTCCGGTAATCGGTCTGATACTTAACGTTAATTTCTGGGTCCAAGGCGACCGGGTTCTCGTCATCGCCCCCTTCGAATCGCACGCACAATGCCTGATGATGATGCCTTATATACAGGGCCTCACCGATCGGGGTCACCAGCTGACGGTGATACATGCATTTAAGCACTGCAAACCCATTCAAAATGTGACCTTAATACGTATTAGGGATTATAATAACGTTTATTCAGGTTCGTAAAATTAATGTTAATACGTAAAAAGCAAAACTTGTCTCGAACAACGAGATTTGCAGTCCTGGGAATATCGTAGGGTTGTCAGCATATCCATTTAAGCCGGATAATTAAAAAATATCAAATTATTGGGAAAAGCGATCAGTGTTTGCCAGACTAGTTTATCATTAAACTCAGTCATTATTATTTGATAAGGAAATTTTTCTTTTTACAGTTTCAGACGCGAGATAAGAAATATTATTTCGTTGGGCGGTGAAAAAGCCGAATAGCAATCTTAAGATAAAGGCAATCAAGACGTACTACAATAAAAGATCTTAGCACTTACAGAGACAAATTAGTTTTGTTTTAGTTTTGAAAAACACATTTTGTCATATATTAAAATATTACTAGGCATATGGGACGAAGTTAGCGAACTAATTTTCTTTGTTTCCTCTCGTTTACTCCAGACTTTGAAGACTTTCTGATCGCTTCTGCGGCGAACAAGTGGGGAGAAATGCATTTTTTGACGAAAATCATGGTTAATGTTGGTCTAAATGTAATGAATAATGGGGAGGTTCGGGCCTTGATCCAATCGAATGTCACATACGACTTGGTAGTGGTGGAACCGTCTTTCACCGATCTGCTCTACGGACTGGCAGCGCATTTTAAGGCTCCACTGATCGGACTTTCCACCTGTGCATCGGATTGGAATCTTAATAGCCTGTTAAATCACGGATCGTCCCTTTTGGTGGAGCCAGTGATGCCGAATGGCATAATGCCCGTGCGGAATATTTGGGATCGCATCTACACTTGGTACTACACCACCGAGGAGTGGCTGCTGATACAGCTAGTTTTACTGCCGAAACTGAAACTGGTTCACGATCACTTCTTTGGCCATCTTAATCAGAGCTTTTCAGAGATACGACACGGTTTCTCTTTAATACTTTTGAATCAGCATTTTAGCTTGTTTCAGCCCAGATCAACTGTTCCAAGCATGATCGAGGTGGCTGGCTTCCATGTACCCAAAGAGGATCCAAAGTTACCCGAGGATCTGCAGGTGTTCATCGATGAGGCCGAACATGGTGTGATCTACTTCACTTTGGGTGTGGAGCAGAAGAGTGAGGATTTGCCAAAGGAAACCCAGAAAATGCTGCTGGATGTTTTCAAGTTAATGCCACAGCGAGTGATTTGGAAGTTTGAGGGTAAACCTCCGGGGAATTTAACCAGTAATATATACCTATCCGAACTTTTGCCACAGCAAGCCATTCTGGCACATCCAAACGTAAAGCTCTTTATTAGCCACGGCGGAATGCTAAGTATTATTGAGGCTACTTACTACGCGAAGCCTGTTTTGGGCATGCCTTTGTTCTTCGATCAATTCAGAAATTTGGAAGTTTTGATTGAGGAGGAAGCAGCCCTTCAGTTAAACATTAACAGCATGACAAAAGAACAGCTGAAGAATTCAATGGATAGCTTGATAAATCAACCAAAATATAGAGAAAATGTGTTGGCTATTTCCAAGAGATTTCGGGATCAGCCGATGCATCCGTTGGATACGGCCATCTACTGGACCGAATACATCATGCGCTACAAGGGAGCGAAGCACATGAGGGTCCCCCAATCAAAGATAAAGCTAGTTGAATACTATTCCCTGGACAAATTCCTAATGGTTGGAGTTCGACTATGCCTGGTCGTGAGCATAGTATTTTTGGCTCTTTCCAAAATGAGGTTTTGCCGCTTTAATTTTGCCAAATATATAAAACCTTTTTGGCCTCCGCTTGGTATTCAACGTAATAACGAAGGGCTTCGTTAAAATGCTATGCTTATTTATTAAAATGTATATTTTAAATTAGATTGTAATTATTTTATTGTTCATTGTTGTTTAGGTTCGAGATAAAAGCGGGTATAGTAAATGATAAGCACTATAGTAGCTATCTTATCTTAATTGCCATTTATTTATGATTGTTTCGAAGTGTTTTTTAACACGGCGTAGTGTTTATGTATACGGCTGTATAATTTTTTATTTAAGAGATTTTTAGCTTAAAATTAGCTGACCACAAATAGACTTTAATCTTAATTCTATTTGTGATAAGTAAAACATTTTGATTTTTTATTATAATGAATTACAAAAGTAAAAACCATTTTTTTATATGTTTAAAAATAAATTAAATAAACAACGGACAATGACGATAACTTTATTTAAAACAAGAAAGGAAAGCTAAATTCTGGCGGAGCCGAAGTTGAAATACCCTTGCAGAATATTCTGCAAATTATATTCTCCAAAATTATTCATATGATGCATTCTCAATACTCATAAAAAATCCCAACTTCCTAACTTTAAAAACGCCAAAGTTATGGCATTTCCAATCGTTCAGTTATACGGCAGCTATAGAATATAGTCGGCCGATCCTTATGAAATTTGATATGTCGGATTGATTGGGCAAAAATAAAACCCATAGAAAATACCAACTTCCTAACTTTACAAACACCAAAGTTATGGCATTTCCGATCAATCAGTTATATAGCAGCTATAGGATATAGTCGGCCGATCCTTATGAAATTTGGTACGTCGGATTGATTGGCCAAATATAAAACCCATAGAAAGTCCCAACTTCCTAGCTTAACAAACAGCAGAGTTATGGCATTTCCGATCAATCAGTTATATGGCAGCTATAGGATATAGTCGGCCGATCCCGGCCGTTCCGACTTATATACTGCGTGCAAAGAAAAGAAGGGTGTGTGCAAAGTTTGAATTCGATATCTTTAAAACTGAGAGACTAGTTCGCGTAGAAACAGACAGACGGACAGACGGACAGACAGACGGACAGACAGACGGACAGACGGACATGGCTATATCAACTCAGGAGGTGATCCTGATCAAGAATATATAGGGTCGGAGATGTCTCCTTCACTGCTTTGCACACTTTTGACCAAAATTATAATACCCTCTGCAAGGGTATAAAAATATATATTTACAAGACAAAAAATGTTTGGTGTTTTAATTAAAATTTCGCCTTGATATTTGTTATGCCAGTTTAACTGCATTATATTTTAAAGCTGCATGCTTAAAATTTGTTTTGCCTTAAAACTAAAATGATCAATACTCAATTAAGAGTAGGGTATATGCATTTCACAGCTCTCTGAGCACAAAAACTGTGCCAAATTAGATGTTCTGGTAAACAAAAAAACGATAGAACTTGACAAGCTAAGAGTCAAATGCCGATAAGCCGAGAAGTAAAGAGAGCTACATGGAGAGAAAGAGCACTATTCGACTCTCCTATCGCATTACAACAACTAATTGTGTATAAACAATCAACAATGTTGACTAAGGCAAGCCGGTGACGCCAAAAAATATATACATACATATATGTATGTGCATAAATTTAAAGCTATAGATATAGCAAAAACGAAGCTTTCGTCTCGCTCCATTGAATTTATTGTTTGTAGAATGAGCAAATTTTTGGCGATTCTTTTAATCGGCACTCACCGATAATTACATTTATATATAGAAAAGTTTTTGTGTTAGATTAGTTGTCGTTTGTCAGCGAATCGTTATGGTCGCTTCGAGAATGGGAATCAAACTTTGTAGAACTGGGCTGGGCCTTCTGATATTTGGCCTGGTCTTGCTGCTCGGCGCGAATGCCGATGAAGTGGTTCAAGGTTCCCGAATCCTGGCCGTTTTTCCCTTTCCCGGCCGATCGCAGTACATATTCGCCGAACAGTATCTCAAGGAACTGGCCCGTCGGGGTCACAATGTCACCGTGATCAATACGTTCGGCAGCGATAAAAATGAGCCCAACTTTCGTGTGATTGGTGCCAAAAAAATACACGAAATAATGGCAGGTAAGAAATGGTTATACAAACGATCTATTGCGAAATAAATGATATTTAAATCGTGGTTAAAGTAATTTGAAATTTTTGAGAGTCAGAAACTTTATTCGATATATATTATATTTATGTATATATAATATATTAATTTCTATATTTCATACCCCATGTCTTGTTGAAATAATATATCATTAATCAGCAATACTATAGTATTCTATAGAATAGTTTTTATAAAAATATCTGTCCGTTTAAAAGCGATATATTCCTCTATAACAAACTTACACAAATTGTTAAGTTTTAAAGCGAAATGTTCATTATTTCGCAATTTGTCCTATATGTGCCTTATTTTTGAACACCAGAAAGTAATAGAAAACCCTGTATTACAGCGTTTGGAAATATGGACTACAATCAGGAGGCAAGTCAATGGACAGTTTTGACCATGACCACCGATTTCCTTAATCTCCTTACCACAAGTGTTCTGGATGATCCTGCTGTAAAGGAATTGTTGGCCAGTCGGGAAACTTTTGATCTGGTCGTTTCGGAAACGGTTCAAACCGAAGCTCTTTTTGGCTTAGCCCAGCATTTTGGGGCGCAGAGCATTGGAATCTCGTCGTACGGCACCGATATTCACATCGATGAGTTGATGGGAAATATATCCCCATTATCCTATAATCCCATGTTGCTGTCATCGCGAACGGAGCGAATGGGTTTCGAGGAACGTCTGCGAAATGTGTGGGAAGCTACTATTATTTGGCTGCACAAGAGAATTATACACCTGCCCACTCAGCGGGATCTGTATGCAAAATACTTTCCAAATGCCAGGAAATCGTTGGAGGAAGTTTTGGATAGTTTTTCGCTGATGCTGCTGGGCCAGCACTTCTCATTAAGCTATCCACGCCCATATTTGCCCAATATGATCGAGGTGGGCGGTCTGCATTTGCAACAACAGCGAAAGGTGAAGGACCTACCAACAGAATTGAAGGAATTTGTGGAGCAGGCCCCCCAGGGAGTTATATATTTTTCAATGGGCTCCAATATCAAGAGTGCAGATTTGCCACCGGCAACCCGAAAAGTTCTAATGGAAACATTGGCCAGCCTGCCTCAACGTGTATTGTGGAAATTCGAGGATGATCAGCTGCCTGAAAAGCCTTCGAATGTGTTTATCAGCAAGTGGTTTCCACAACCGGACATCCTGGCTCATCCGAATGTAAAGCTATTTATCACCCACGGAGGACTTTTAAGCACCATCGAGAGTGTTTACTTTGGCAAGCCCGTCTTGGGTCTGCCAGTTTTTTACGATCAGCACTTGAATGTTCTGCGGGCCAAACAGGCGGGTTATGGTCTCAGTGCGAATTTGTGGAGTGCCAATGCCACAGAACTTACTTCTCTGATTCAGGAACTACTGGGTAATCCCAGTTATGCGGCCGCAGCTCAAAGTAAATCCAAACTATTTCGAGATCAAAAGGAAACCGCTTTGGAACGAGCCATTTGGTGGACCGAATACGTACTGAGGCACAAGGGCGCCACCCACTTGAGATGTGCCTCCCGCGATATGGACTTTATTCAGTTCCACGGACTAGACACCTGGGGCCTGCTCATCGCTGTCACTCTGGTCTCCATACTGATCTTTGTGACTGCACTACGCTATCTACTGAGGGGACTCAGTTATATCATCTTTAGGCGTCGTGAGGGGTCCGGCAAATTGAAGACCCAGTAACCAATTAAAGGCCATTAACTAGTCGAGTTTATGCCGTCACCGATCTTTTTAAATTGTTTAATTTTTAACGTTAGTGTAAGGTACATTTGAAATTATTTGTTGTGTTATTAGCACTTATAATTGTAATAATATAAAATTGATTGAAAACATAATGAAACTCGAAAAATACTTGACAATTTAGGGTATTAACTTATTGTTTATTAATGCTATCTTTTTACTAACTTGAGTCCTGGTCAACGAAATAAAATTATTCATGCTAAAGAGTCTACTGTTAGAACGTAAATTGCAATCATTATAATCATATTTGTGCACGCATGAACCCCAACCTTTTTTTATCAGTTAATTTAAAGTCGTTACTATCACCGACATCACACTCAGAAAAATAAATAGTACCAAAATGTTCAAATAAATTTTTTGTATGGTAGATACCAAAATTTGTTTTTTTTTAAAAGAATACCTATAAAAAATCATGAGTTGTGGATTTGCGAATCTTAAAATTAATTACTATAGTAAATGTAATCCCCAGCTGTGATAAGAATTTCGGATTGTACTCCTTAGTTTTTGAACTGTAGGAATCGCTTAATTCCGTGCAATGCTTTGTTTGTTTGATGGATAGGAGGGGTTAGGATGGGAGCCAATGTAGTGATGGGGTGCGACGCTGAGATGTGGATCGCCTACGAAATGTCCGTAATCGCATCTGTCTAGAATTGCTATCGCATGTCGGTGCCTCAGAATGTTATCTAATAACCTTGTTCTATGCTTTAATGTTCGTTTACCGATTCAGTTTATAGCTTGAGTTTGTGTAAACCAGACGATCTTTAAGATGCTGGTTATACACCTGAGTGGATTGTTGCTTATTCTGCCAGCTTGTATACAGGCTGCCAGGATACTGGCTGTTTTTCCCTTTCCTGGTCCATCGCAGTACATCAATGTGGTCCCCTATCTGAAGACGCTGGCCTCCCGGGGTCACCAGGTGACCTCGATTAACGCCTTTCCGCAAAAGAAACCACTGGAAAACTTTCGAGACATTCCCATTCCGGAAGTTTTTGACAATTATAATGGTAATAAAATATTTAACAAATATAATATTTAAATTTATGTAAGCTTTTTTTTTGAGAAAGACTGTTAAATGTTTTGCAAAATTATGTAGGTTTACATCTATACACACCCATGGCTAGACTAAGTAATATATCCTTTGATTTTTATAGAAATCATAAACGAGCTTAACGATCCGATGAATATATGGCAGGAGAACAATTTCATCAACAAGTTTTTTGTGGATATCACCCGATCAGTTCTTACCAATAAAGAGGTTACCGAAACCCTTTTGCCTCCAGGAAAGGATCAGTATGATCTGATCATTGTGGAGGCTCTACGCTCGGATGCCTACTACGGATTTGCGGCCCACTTCAATGCCCCTATTATAGGCATCTCAACCTTTGGAACCGATTGGAATATTGATGAGCTGGTGGGCAATGTATCGCCTCTATCGTATACACCCCTGGTAACAGCGGGTTTTACCGATCGCATGACTTTCGGGGAGCGTGTGTCCAACTTTGTGGATACTACAGTGGCCTGGCTCAACTACAGATTGGTGCATATGCCGGAACAGGAGAGATTGTATGAGAAGTACTTCCCCATAGCCTCGAAAAGGGTTCGACTCACTGATTTGAATAGAAACTTCTCCCTGGTGCTGCTAAATCAACACTTCTCGCTGAGCTTTCCGCGTGCCTACGTTCCGAATATGATTCAGGTTGGAGGTCTGCATATATCCCACAAGCCAGCTGCATTGCCCAAAGACCTGGAGGAGTTTATTCAGGGTTCCGGGGAGGAGGGTGTGATTTACTTTTCCCTGGGCTCCAATGTAAAAAGCAAAGACTTACCAGCTGAGAGAAGGCAACTGATGCTGAAAACCTTTGCCAGTCTGCCGCAGCGGGTCCTGTGGAAATTCGAGGACGATCAGCTACCTGGCAAACCTGCCAATGTTTTTATTAGCAAATGGTTTCCTCAGCCAGATATTTTGGCCCACCCTAAGGTTAAACTTTTCATCACCCACGGCGGATTGCTGAGTACCATCGAGAGCATCCATCATGGTAAACCGGTTTTGGGACTGCCCTTCTTCTACGATCAGTTCCTGAATGTGAAGCGGGCCAAGCAGGCGGGATTTGGATTGGGGCTCGATCACAAGACAATGACCCAGCAGGAGTTCAAGGGGACTATCGAAAGGTTGGTCAAGGAGCCGCAATTTGCCGAGACGGCCAGGCAGATGTCCGATCGATATCGGGATCAGCCCATGACTCCTCTGGACACGGCCATCTGGTGGACAGAGTACGTCCTGCGGCACAAAGGAGCATACCACATGCGCGTGGCTGGCCAGGACTTGGGCTTCTTCGCCTACCACAGCTTGGATGTCCTTGGAGCTCTCTTGGGTGGAGCTCTCCTAATCCTGACAATCAGTTTGGTCATTCTATGGAAAATAGCTGGATTTGGAAACTCCAAGAAAAAGCAGAAAAAACAATAATTCGCTAGCACAATTACTAGATTTATATGTTAATTGTTAAACATTCAGTAAAATAAAGGGAGACTAAGAGCCAAATGTGTATTAAAGTGTAACAAAAACTTTAACAGCCAGATAAAAGTATATTGATTTACAGCCAACGTATACAGAGTGATTTCCCTAATTTTGTCCTTTTCCAATTCATAATTTATTGTTTTTGGTTGTTTAATCTTATCAACAAGAAGGTTTCTTCGTTCGTTCTTGTGGGCTCTACTAGTCAGTCTATCCATCGAGTTTGCCACAAATGCACGAGCCGTCTGAAAATGTTGGTTTTCAGTTCATTCACTCTCCTAGTGATTTTTCTGCCCGGTTTCTTGGAGGGAGTTCGCATCCTCGCCTTGTTTCCCATACCGAGTCACTCGCATTATTACCACGCCTTACCCTATCTGAAAAATTTGGCCTCTTTGGGTCATGAAATAACCTCTGTGAGCCCGTTTCCATCGAAAGAACCTATGAATAATATAAAAGACGTTCCTGTTCCAGAACTGTTTGACAATATTGACGGTAAGTGATATTATAATGATTATTTAAAATTTACTTGATACAAATATAGTTATAAAGTCCAAATTTTGTTTGACAGTTTTTGTTTTACATTTTTTACTTAACAAATAAGCAATCTAATTTGAAGTTTTTGACCTTATTTTCTCCAATTTTTTTCAGATATGATTAAACATCTTTCGACGCCCTTAAACAGTTGGGATTATTCTGAATATATAAACAATTACAATCTTAACCTCGTAAAGTTAGTGCTGAACAATGACGGAGTTCGTCGAGAAGTACTTAAGCCAGGAAAAGCTCAGTTTGATTTAATAATTGTGGATCTTTGGCGGCTCGATGCTCTCTATGGTTTGGCGGCCTATTTTGATGCCCCAATAATTGGAATAGCTTCCTACGGCACTGAATTGAAGATCGACGAATTGGTGGGCAATACATCTCCGATTTCTTACCTCCATTCTCCGTCTTTTACCAGCTACGATTTGGAGACCTATGGAGGACGTTTGGGTCACTTTGTGCAACAATCTATTTTTTGGATTAACTGGCGTTGGCGGCATGAGCCAAATCATGAGGCGCTCTACAGAAAGTATTTCCCGAAAATAGCTGATAAGCAACCACTGTCTGAGATTACTCGAAACTTTGCTTTGGTTTTGGTAAATCAACACTTTACGTTGGCTCAACCAAGGCCATATGCCCCGAACATGATCGAAGTGGGTGGTATGCACATTAATCAACAACCCCAAGCCTTACCCAAGGATTTTGAGGACTTTATCCAAGATGCTGGTGAGCATGGAGCAATTTATTTTTCTCTAGGCACCAATGTTAGGGCCAAAAATCTGACAGAGGATCGTAAGAAAGTTTTAATTGAAACATTTGCAAGCCTGCCACAGCGTGTCCTGTGGAAATTTGAGGATGAGAATTTGCCGGATAAGCCCCCAAATGTTTTCATTAGTAAGTGGTTTCCGCAGCAGGATATCCTGGCCCATCCAAAAGTTAAGCTGTTTATAACCCACGGAGGATTGCAAAGCACCGTCGAATGCATTCACCATGGCAAACCCATGTTGGGACTGCCCTTCTTTTTCGATCAGTTCCGCAATATGGAACATATCAAAAAACAGGGCCAAGGATTGGTTCTGAACTATAAGAATATGACAAGCGAGGAGTTCAGGTCGACTATCATCCAGTTGCTGACTGAGAAGAGTTTCGACATAGCGGCTAGAACAGCAGCAGCTCGATATCGGGATCAACCCATGAATCCTTTGGAAACGGCTGTCTGGTGGACTCACTACGTCCTGCGACACAAGGGTGCATCCCATATGCGAGTGGCTGGAAGAGAATTAAACTTCTTCATCTTTCACAGTCTGGATGTCTTGGGCACTTTTCTTGTAGCCTTTCTGGTTATTCTTGCAGCTCTTGTCCTTTGTGTCGTTACGATTTGCAGGATGATCCTAAGACGTGGAGTCGATAAAGGAAAACAAAAACAGAAAGTTCAGTAAAATTCGGCTTTTTAATTTTACAAACAAATTTGGTCGCTTTTAGAGTTTTTTTATAATTTTTTAAAATTAAGTTTTGTATTTTTGCAGCTGACAAAAGGGGCTAAGAAATCTATTATATTAAATGTTGAAAAAACTTGAATGACTTATTTTTTTTTTTTTACCGGCCCGTTGCCTTTTTATACCCTTGCAGAGGGTATTATAATTTCAGTCAAAAGTTTGCAACGCAGTGAAGGAGACATTTCCGACCCTATAAAGTATATATATTCTTGATCAGCATCACCAGGAGAGTCGATCTAGCCATGTCCGTCTGTCCGTCTGTCCGTCCGTCTGTCCGTCCGTCTGTCCGTCCGTCCGTTTCTACGCAAACTAGTCCCTCAGTTTTAAAGCTATCTGCTTGAAACTTTACCAAAAGTTGTCTTTCTATTGCAGGTAGTATATAAGTCAGAACGAGCCGGATCGGGCAACTATATCATATAGCTGCCATATAACTGAACGAGCGGAAATGCCATAACTTTGATGTTTGTAAAGTTAGGAAGTTGAGATTATCTATGTGTTTTATTTTTGGCCAATCAATCCGACCTACCAAATTTCATAAGGATCGGACGACTATATCCTATAGCTGCCATCTAACTGAACGATTGAAAATGACATAACTTTGTTGTTTTTAAAGTTAGGAAGTTGGGATTTTTTATGAGTATTAAGAATGCATCATATGAATAACCGATCCGATTTTGGAGAATATAATTTACAGAATATTCTGCAAGGGTATATCAACTTCGGCTCCGCCCGAAGTTAGCTTTCCTTTCTTGTTTTAAATGAAATGATCTTATTTTAGGGTTTGGGAAAAATTGTCTTTTTTATTTTGACCTTGGGCCTTAAAGACGGATTTTAAAACAACAAAGACATAATCTTCTTAAAAAAAAATACTTTACATATTATTTTATTTTATATTTGAAAAGTGGTAGTGCGAAGCAGAAAAATACTTATGGAAATATCCACTGCCGGATAATGGCAGGCAAATAACTACCTATTGGCAAGTTGAATCCTGAGAGGCCCCATGGCTCTTAGTTTGTTTTCACCGCAGACAGCGTACCAAAATGATGGGATATTATGATGCACGTATTTATTATATAACGATGCTTCTCTGGTCACACGCAAAGCTGCTCGATTGGCGTCGAGTGAATTATGGAATACGCGTACAAATATTTGCGTGGCCATGTGTGCGAGCCTGTTTGAGCGCATTTATTAACCGCTGCCAATCAGTTGCATTCGCTGCGTATGCGTAATATTAAATTGCACGGAGTCACTTCCGTTGGATTGGTTTGGCTCATTTGGGCTCGGCTGCTTTTGGCCGTTTTTGGCCGCATCGCCAAATGCGTAATCAAAAATTCATGAGCTATATAAATGTGGTGTGGCTGGAATTGCCATTAGCTCTGTGTGTTTTGTGTTGGCATGCAAATGTAGATTATTTCATGCAATTTTGGGTTGGATCTGTTGACCCCCGCAGCTCCGTCTCTGTGCCCTTTAAATGTCCCGAGTGGTTGGTGCAGAAGAGGCCATTTAATGATGTCCTGTTTTGTGGTTTGACGCGTTTTTAATGAGCTGTTGATTATCGCCGACGGAAACAGCAAAAATATTTATTTCAAAAATCTAAGTCATGACTTGCCGTTTAATTACCCCTCTTTGTTTGCCCCAAAGTATTGCTATTATTTACGCAATGTCAGCAATTCCAATTTGCAGACTAAGAAACGTGTCGAAATATCAGCTCACTTCTTTACTGAATCTAATCGGTAACTTGTCCAAGCAAATCGGTCGGTTCACTGCGTTCCTCTTCTAGTTTGCTTTTTCTCTCCTGTTTTTATAACAATTTGTGCAGGGGAAAAGTCGAGAAAATTCGAGTTGCTGCAGCTGGAAATTGCTGAAAATATGTTCATTGCTCGTTCACCTGGTGATAGTTATGCGCTCAAGCATTTTGTCAATTTTGTTTGTTAATTTCTGTGAGTTGTGACACCGAGAGATGACTCATCTGCACCTTTTATACCCTTGCAGAGGGTATTATAATTTTGGTCAAAAGTGTGCAACGCAGTGAAGGAGACGTCTCCGACCCTATAAAGTATATATATTCTTGATCAGGATCACCTCCTGAGTTGATATAGCCATGTCCGTCTGTCCGTCTGTCCGTCTGTCCGTCTGTCCGTCTGTCCGTCTGTCTGTTTCTACGCAAACTAGTCTCTCAGTTTTAAAGCTATCGAATTGAAACTTTGCACACACCCTTCTTTCCTTTGCACGCAGTATATAAGTCGGAACGGCCGGGATCGGCCGACTATATCCTATAGCTGCCATATAACTGATTGATCGGAAATGCCATAACTTTCGTGTTTGCAAAGTTAGGAAGTTGAGATTTTCTATGGGTTTTATATTTGGCCAATCAATCCGACTCACCAAATTTCATAAGGATCGGCCGACTATATCCTATAGCTGCCATATAACTGATTGATCGGAAATGCCATAACTTTCGTGTTTGTAAAGTTAGGAAGTTGAGATTTTCTATGGGTTTTATATTTGGCCAATCAATCCGACCTACCAAATTTCATAAGGATCGGCCGACTATATCCTATAGCTGCCATATAACTGATTGATCGGAAATGCCATAACTTTCGTGTTTGTAAAGTTAGGAAGTTGAGATTTTCTGTGGGTTTTATATTTGGCCAATCAATCCGACCTACCAAATTTCATAAGGATCGGCCGACTATATCCTATAGCTGCCATATAACTGATTGATCGGAAATGCCATAACTTTCGTGTTTGTAAAGTTAGGAAGTTGGGATTTTCTATGGGTTTTATATTTGGCCAATCAATCCGACCTACCAAATTTCATAAGGATCGGCCGACTATATCCTATAGCTGCCATATAACTGATTGATCGGAAATGCCATAACTTTCGTGTTTGTAAAGTTAGGAAGTTGGGATTTTTTATGAGTATTAAGAATGCATTATATGAATAATTTTGGAGAATATAATTTACAGAGTATTCTGCAAGGGTATATCAACTTCGGCTCCGCCCGAAGTTAGCTTTCCTTTCTTGTTGTGTTTGATTTATCTTGAAAATTAAAGGTTTTTCAGGATAATCATTCAACAAAATTTAAGTAAGTATAACTGTTTTCAAGGAATATTTGTTTTATTGCGGAATAACTTTAAGTTTAGTAGGGTTTGGAATTTTGTAGAAATATCCACTAATAAAAATAAGGAATATATATATAAAGTTAATTTTGATTATATAAGGAAATGCGATTAAATATGCAGGAAAACTTCTAAGAAAAGCTTGACAGAGGAAATAATTCTTCCCAGATTTTATATCGCTCTAGAAAGAAGCCACCAGTTTTTGCCGTAAGATTGTTACCGATTTCCAAATAAGCTTGATCGTGAGAGTTGTGAAGTGGCCAGTTAAGATCTTTCAGGTACTCATCGTTCTTGTTGTGGGGATCACTGGTAAACAACACATTAAACAACAAATTTCATAAAGTAAAATATGAACACTTACCCCTTTTGAGCAAACTCAATCCACATACGCGTCAAACGCTCAATTATAAAGTTCTCAGGGTCCTCTCGTTTTAATAGAGGACTCAAAAGACCCACATGGAATAAGTATAAGAGCTCATCATGGTGAACGGGACCTGTAAGTTTAACAATAATAAATATGTAAAATTCGGGGTAATTTTTTACAACTGCTCACCCATTGCTTCTTGATTATCGGGATTTTTCAAGAAACTATATCTACCCTTATACCGAAACAGATAGGTGTAAATGGGTGTGTGGGGGGCCATTATGCGAAGAAAACGATTGAAGGACACTCCAATCAGGGCATCGCTAAGGAGTTCTCCCATTCCCTTGAGGGACTTCGGATATTCCAGCTTGTCCCTACTCTCTGGCATATAATAATCCCTCAAAACTCGACTGGCATTTTGTGAGTGGGTAGAGTTACGATCCAAAAGCAGGGCAATTGAAGCAAAGTGTTCCCAGTCCTGGTTGTATTTGCTCACAATGCTCTCATTCCGCAAATCAACTGTGGGTAATAATAAGAGGTTTGGTTATATCACATTACAATTGCCTTTTAAAATTAGAACTTACAAAATGCTCCAGAAAGGAATTCAAACTCCGTAATGCCAGTGATGAGGGGCACCTTGTGGAAGTCGCCACGTCGAGCTGTTTTGAAGGGACTCTCGATTAGGTAACGCTCCTGCCCAAAGTCCTCTTCAACTACTATCCTCCAGTTGAGCACGGGATTCCAGCCAAACTCAAACATGCCGTTGTAGGTACTCACATAATCCAAGTAGGGTTTTTGTCTCATACACTCCACCATTTTCTTGACTGATTCTTGGGGGCACTTCAATAGTCTAGCCTGTCGTTGGGCCAATAAAAGGTCATTGCTTTTAAAGGGAACTGGTCCATATGGTGAGGCACTCATACAAATGCCGCGATGAAATAGACCCCTCGACATGGGGGATAGCATGTGCAGAGCTACGCTGATACTACCCGCACTATAGCCCAAAAGGGTCACACTTCCGGGGTCACCACCAAAACGGTGGATATGCTTCTGAATCCATCGCAATGCCAAAACCTGATCCTTGAGTCCTGCATTGCCCGGAGCTTCCTTGGTTCCGGTGGCCAGGAAGCCCAAGCTACCCAGCCGGTAATTCAGCGAGACCAGCACACAATCGCGATCCATTAAATGTTCGGGACCGGCCAAATATTTACTTTGCCCCGAGAACACATAAAAGCCGCCGGGATGCAGAAAGACGATCACTGGTCGGCGACCTTTCAAATCCTTCGTATACACATTCAGCCGCAAACAGTCCTCGGAAACATCGGTCATATTGTCCCACGGTTGAGGGCACATCGGTCCATCTTCGGTGGCATCAAAAGTCGTTGGAGACCAGGATTTCACAGGCTGGGGATTCACAAACCGTAAGTTCCCCAAAGGCGGCTCTGCATAGCGAATGCCACGAAAGGCATGGAACGGCAATCCCAATCTGGAGGTCAAATTCGATCCCCGCACTCGTCCCAGTTCGGTGTCCACTTCGATGGAGAAAACCGATGAACTGGCCAGCAGAACCAGCAGTTCCACTGTAAAGAACTTTATCATCTCGCCGACTGACTGAAACTGAGATGTAAAAGTTTCCACTGTCGTTTTTATACTAAATCATGCGGCTGAAATTGGTATTGGGGGTTTACCCAGCAACGATTGCGACTGATCTGGCATAATAACAAGATCACTTGGCCGTCTCTATATGTACAGATTCATACGATGTTGCGCAGCTGAATAGTCGCTAAAGATGAGAACAAAGGAATACGTAAAACAGCTACTCAAAAGGGTTATTTGTTTTACTTTTAAAAAGAATTTTCAATAAAGATGACAAAAGTCAGTTCAAATAGTACATTATTGTTTAACAAATAAATTCATTTTTAATAAAAATAAAAATACTAAAACCTAAAAGCTTAAATCTCAAAACGTCAAATATTATTTATCTGTAATTATTAATATTTGTGTTTTTATGGGAATTATAATAATGTAATCTTTTTGTTTTTAAATTTAGCTTATAATAAGGCAAACTAATTGGATTAATTTATTTAACTTAATAAATTAAAATGATTCCTTATTGGTTCTAACTAAGTTTCCTAGATTATATCACTGAACTTTAATAGTTCCATTTAATTTTATTTTCTGTGAATCTTAAAAAAATTCCCCAACAAGTTTCTATAAAAACCAATTGTAGGCCTATAATTTTATGTATAATAAAGGTGAAATAGGCTATATTTTTAAATAAATACTATTTAATTTTACATAAAGTATTGGTTTTCTTACAACATAATATTTTCTTTTTGAGTGGGTGATCGTTTTGTGGTTTCTTTCCAACCATGCTTACATTTGGATGTTTTTTTATCAACAAATTATAACCAAATAATCATTTGTTAAGTCTTTTCCCTATTTCGTGATGCATAATGCCACAAAAACAATAGCTCCTTGTCTCCTTTTTAAACCGGATCGGCACTAAAGCCGCCAACATTTCCGCGACGGACGCTGCCATGGCACAAAACAGTTTCAATAAGTTGGGCTTAAAGTTTTACACGCCTTTTGCGCGCCAAAAAGGATGAGAAGAGGGGGATGCACGGTAAAGAAAATAAAAGCATTTAGCCGGGGGCGTAAGTGGGTGTAGCAGGGGCGTGGCACGCAGTTGGTTGCTGTTAAAAATTTGAACGCGCTGATGGGCATTTTTACAACTGAAGCGTTAACTATGTGCAACTTGCATCACCATGAAAGAAAAGAGCGTAGAAAATAGGAGCCAAAAAAAAGGTATTTCCGCTCAATCGAAACTACATATACTCTTAGCTGAAACAATACAATAATTTACCAGGATTGAAATTTATAAGCCAATAGAATTTTGTACATTTACTGGTCTTATAAAGAAACATTTTGCACTTAATATTGTTTAGTTAAATTTGTTTATAGAAAGGTAATACAAAATTATTGTTACTACATTATTTTTGTAGGAGTGCACAACTATAAAGGGAAATGAAAGCAGAAGAGAATCGAAAAGGAGAATAGCAAGAGCAACGTAGCTTTTTTTCGATAAAAGTTCAAAATATTTTCCATTTTAGTTTACAAGTTTCAAGCTGCAGGCCGAATCCAACCGCACAACCCCACTGTAAAATCAAATGAAATTTTCACGAGCTCCCCAACAACATGAAATGGTTACGAGTTTGAAGATATTTTGTAGGAAAACGTATAGACACTTGCAAATAAATTCCCTGTCTTTTATCATTTACAATTGGAATCGAAAAATTGAAATGAAAATGCAGTTTTGCTTCTTAAAGTATTTTCAACTTTCCCAGCTGTGAGTAAATTGAAAAATATATTTGTAATGTATACAGACAAAAGATTTTAGAGGAATTTATTTCTGAAATAATTTTTTATTTATTTCTCACCAAATTGCACCACTGAAATAGCTAAAAATAACTCATTTTAAAGCACCCTATTTTAAACTGGTCATGAATACTAACTAATTATCAATTGGGTTTAATTGCGCTTGGCTTTTTGTTTCGGCTTGGAATTTTCTTTCTTTATAAACAATTCCTGCAAAAGGCGCCACACCCAACGGATCAGCAGGAAAAGACAAAGGAACACGAATATAATGCCGCCATACAGGATTAGAATGGCATCCAGGTTGTGGTACTGAATGAAGTTCAGATCCTGGGAGGCGCTCCTCAGGTATTTGGCACCCTTGTGCCGGGACACGTGCTCCACCCAAAAAACAGCCCGTTCCAACGGAGTCTGAGGCTGATCCCGATATCTGTCGGACATGTCGCGCACCTTCTTGGTGGCCTCAGGATCTTCGATTAGTCGGTGAATGGCCGCCAAAAGTTTAGGGGCAGTCAAATCGTCGTAGTGTACCGTGACTCCATATCCATTCTGCTCGGCGCGAGCCATGTTCAGGAACTGATCGCCAAAGATTGGGATCCCCACAAAGGGTTTGCGGTGGTAAATGGACTCCGTGGTGCTCAGCAAACCGCCGTGGGTGATGAAGGCTATCACATTTTCATGGGCCAAAATATCGTCCTGGGGAAACCAGTCGGAGATGAAGACATTCGCTGGTTTTCCGGGCATATCTGTGTCCTCGAACTTCCACAGGACACGCTGTTTCAACTGGGCGAAGGTGTCGATCAGAGCCTGTCGTTTCTCCAGCGGCAGGATTTTGCTCTTCAGGTTGGAACCCATCGAGAAATAAATACATCCATGCTTTGCTCCCTCAATGAACTCTTGAATGTCCTTGGGCAGCGGCTGGCGCTTGCGATTGATGTGCATACCGCCCACCTCGATCATATTGGGTGAATAGGGCCGAGGGAAACTGAGGGAGACATGCTGATTCAGCAGCACCAAGGCCGTGTTCTTCCGCATCTCATAGAAGTCCTGCTTGTTGTTGGGGAAGTGCTTGCGGTAAAGTACTTCTTGACGCGGCAAGTAGAAGTAGTTGAGGAACACATACTCGTAGGTGAGGAAGGCCAGGTTGCCCACCCGCTCGACGAGAGTCATGTGGTCACTGAACTTGAGCAGAGCACTCGGAACATATGAGGGCGGTGAGGGAGATCCAACCTATAAAGTACAAAAAATTTGATTTTAGCTATGAGCCTTATGAAACTTATTCGAAGAAAAACTCACCAGATCTGTGTTCCAGCTAATGGCCCCAAAAGTGCCCAGCCCAATAAGTGGGGCCTTGAAATGCTCTGCTAGTCCAAAATGAGCTTCGTTTAGGAAAACCTCAGATATTACGGCGTCAAAGGTCTGATTCGATTTCATCAGTTCAATTACAGAGGGTTCACTCAGCAGAAGTTCAGTTATTTCAATACCCATTTCATGGAAATTAATGATTTGTTCGATTATAGGTCTTTTTGATGATTCCAATAAGTTTGCCATTCTTCCTTCAATTTTAAGAAAAAGTAAACAAGGTAAGTATTTTCTTGAATTAAGAAACTAATATATTTGATAGCGGGTTCTAGATAACAGCATTTGCAGTGTAATGAAATTTACGATAAGAAAAGAAATAGTGTCGAAGGGTATGGGGACTTATAATTTATAATCTACCGAGGTTTTCATAAAAATTTATACCGAGGAATGACCCACTGTTTTTCAATAAAATTATGAAACTAATTATTTAATTGTTTTCTTTTACAAAGGAGACTCTGTATATCTGTTATCTATCTATCCTCATTATCAATGTATTGGAAATATCTTAATTAAGTGTTTCACCAGTGAATCGAAACTGAAATCACTTTTATGTAACCTAACCGGTTTAAGCCATTGGCCAATTACAAGTTTTATTCAAATATATAGATAAAAGCCAAATAAGCACCCTTTTTAGCTTAATAATTAGTTTAACTAATAACTGCGTTTTATATGATGAAATATTGTTGCACTAGAACAAGGTTTTTTATATGAGTTTACAGAGAAATTTCATTGATGGAAGACCATTAGTGTAGCATTAGGCAAACAAGTGTGATTGTGTAATGCTCAAACCAATTTGTTAGCTAAACTCACCTTGCATGGAGGCCAGAACGCTCTTAGCCGTTACATCTTTGATGTTTTTGATGGGTTTTTTCAACTCGAAAGGGGAGACAATGGTCACCTGATGTCCGGCGCTGGCTAATCCCTTGGCCAATGCAGATCCCACATGGTAATGGGATCGGGCGGCGGTATGGAGAACCACCAAATAGTTATAGGCCGATGCGCAGCTTAGAAAACAAAGTAGCAGCAGGGCCACAAAACGTGTTTGGCCAGCTGTTGGTTTCATTTTTCCGATTTTCGGACTATGATTTCTAAACAATTAATTCCACTTAATTGTTGCCACTTGGGAACTGTGTTCTTATCGGCCGGCGACTGTGTTCTATGGAGCTGATGTATGGGTACTGTCGCCTTGGCGACTCAGAATAAACTGAGTAAGCTTCGCCATGCGATGAGGTAATTATAAGTGGTTGGGTTAGGTCCCAATTTGGGGAGAGGGTGACTCTGTATATTGGTATCGCAGTCTCTAAATCGCTCTCTTGACCACTCAAGTTCTCTCTTTATAGCTATGATCTATCATCGTTACGCTGCCGAAAGCGAACATTCAATATTTGCAGGCTACTCACGATCCAAACGCTCTCGCCTCTCAACCGCCTTCATTATCTGTTTTGTTTTATTCTCGAATCTTGGTTTTTTTGTTTTGTTTACCGGCTTTTCGGTTATGACTTCAATTTTTGTTTTGTTTCTAGGTTCCTCTTCCCGCTCCAATGACTGTTTAAATTACTATTCAACAAAAGCATATTATTAAGAATGTAGCATGAGGGCGTCTGTGAATTTTTCACTTCCATATTTATATACAAATATATTTATACCCTTGCAGAGGGTATTATAATTTTGGTCAAAAGTGTGCAACGCAGTGAAGGAGACATCTCCGACCCTATAAAGTATATATATTCTTGATCAGGATCACCTCCTGAGTTGATATAGCCATGTCCGTCTGTCCGTCTGTCCGTCTGTCCGTCTGTCCGTCTGTCCGTCTGTCCGTCTGTCTGTTTCTACGCAAACTAGTCTCTCAGTTTTAAAGCTATCGGATTGAAACTTTGCACACACCCTTCTTTCCTTTGCACGCAGTATATAAGTCGGAACGGCCGGGATCGGCCGACTATATCCTATAGCTGCCATATAACTGATTGATCGGAAATGCCATAACTTTCGTGTTTGTAAAGTTAGGAAGTTGGGATTTTCTATGGGTTTTATATTTGGCCAATCAATCCGACCTACCAAATTTCATAAGGATCGGCCGACTATATCCTATAGCTGCCATATAACTGATTGATCGGAAATCCCATAACTTTGGTGTTTGTAAAGTTAGAAAGTTGGGATTTTCTATGGGTTTTATATTTGGCCAATCAATCCGACCTACCAAATTTCATAAGGATCGGCCGACTATATCCTATAGCTGCCATATAACTGATTGATCGGAAATGCCATAACTTTGGTGTTTGTAAAGTTAGAAAGTTGGGATTTTCTATGGGTTTTATATTTGGCCAATCAATCCGACCTACCAAATTTCATAAGGATCGGCCGACTATATCCTATAGCTGCCATATAACTGATTGATCGGAAATGCCATAACTTTGGTGTTTGTAAAGTTAGGAAGTTGGGATTTTCTATGGATTTTATTTTTGGCCAATCAATCCGACCTATCAAATTTCATAAGGATCGGCCGACTATATCCTATAGCTGCCATATAACTGAACGATTGGAAATGCCATAACTTTGTTGTTGTTAAAGTTAGGAAGTTCGGATTTTTTATGAGTATTAAGAATGCATCATATGAATAATTTTGGAGAATATAATTTACAGAGTATTCTGCAAGGGTATATCAACTTCGGCTCCGCCCGAAGTTAGCTTTCCTTTCTTGTTTTTGAACTTATTTAATTGTAAAGAAAATCATTTTATTGGATTTATTAGCTTGCTTAAATTTATTTTTTATTTATCTTGAACAATTCTTAAGCTTAAGAAAATAGTTTATTTCTAATATCAATCAAAAAACACCCCTTAACGAGGTGAAAAGTCATGACGATCGCACTTCCAAAATGCAACATTTCTGATATTAAATTTGGTGCGGCCCAAAGACTGAATTGGTGGCCATTTTACAATCTATATAGTGGTGTTAAAATAGTTGAGGTAGCTATTCTTCTGAAATGTCGAAAAAAAATATATATAAAAAATAATATCTTTAAACTCTTATAATACTATTCAGACTTTTTTTGCTATTTAAATATCACTTTTTAGAATATATACACTAGATATTAAAACATTATACTTCTGGAACTATTTTATCTATTATTTTCTTGAATCAGAAAAATCATAAAATTATGCATTTTTTTATTGACTGTAAGCTATTTACAAAACATTTTAAAAGACTATTTTAGAATTAATTTTTTACAAAATTACACCTCTGAAAATAAGTTTATTTTAAAGCACCCTAAATTTTAGACTGGTCATGGATACCAAACAAAATTATCACTTGGGTTTAATTCCGCTTGGCTTTTGGTTTTGGCTTGGAATTTTCATTCTTTATAAACAGTTCTTGCAAAAGGCGCCACACCCAACGGATCAGCAGGAAAAGACAAAAGAACACGAATATAATGCCGCCATACAGGATTAGAATGGCATCCAGGTTGTGGTACTGAATGAAGTTCAGATCCTGGGAGGCGCTCCTCAGATATTTGGCACCCTTGTGCCGGGACACGTGCTCCACCCAGAAAACAGCCCGCTCCAATGGAGTCTGAGGCTGATCCCGATATCTGTCTGACATGTCGCGCACCTTTTTGGTTGCCTCAGGATCTTCGATTAGTCGGTGAATGGCCGCCAAAAGTTTAGGGGCAGTCAAATCGTCGTAGTGTACCGTGACTCCATATCCATTCTGCTCGGCGCGAGCCATGTTCAGGAACTGATCGCCAAAGATTGGGATCCCCACAAAGGGTTTGCGGTGGTAAATGGACTCCGTGGTGCTCAGCAAACCGCCGTGGGTGATGAAGGCTATCACATTTTCATGGGCCAAAATATCGTCCTGGGGAAACCAGTCGGAGATGAAGACATTCGGTGGTTTTCCGGGCATATCTGTGTCCTCGAACTTCCACAGGACACGCTGCTTCAACTGGGCGAAGGTGTCGATCAGAGCCTGTCGTTTCTCCAGCGGCAGGATTGTGCTCTTTAGGTTGGAACCCATCGAGAAATAAATACATCCATGCTTTGCTCCCTCGATGAACTCTTGAATGTCCTTGGGCAGCGGCTGGCGTTTTCGATTAATGTGCATACCGCCAACCTCGATCATATTGGGTGAATAGGGTCGGGGAAAACTGAGGGAGACATGCTGATTCAGCAGCACCAAGGCCGTGTTCTTGCGCATCTCATAGAAGTCCTGCTTGTTGTTGGGGAAGTGCTTGCGGTAAATGACTTCTTGGCGCGGCAGATAGAAGTAGTTGAGGAACACATACTCGTAGGTGAGGAAGGCCAGGTTGCCCACCCGCTCGACGAGAGTCATGTGGTCACTGAACTTGAGCAGAGCACTCGGAACATATGAGGGCGGTGAGGGAGATCCAACCTATACGAGTAACAGAAGTATGATTTTAGTTTTGAGCCTTATAAAACTTATTCGATGGAAGTCTCACCAGATCTGTGTTCCAGCTAATGGCCCCAAAAGGACCGAGTCCTATAAGTGGGGCCTTGAAATGCTCTGCCAGTCCAAAATGAGCTTCGTTTACGAAAACCTCAGATATTACGGCGTCAAAGGTCTGATTCGAATTCATCAGTTCAATTACAGAGGGTTCACTCAGCAGACGTTCAGTTATTTCAATTCCCATGTCATAAACTTTCATGATCCTTTGGGCTAAGGGTTGCTTTGTTGATTCCAATATGTTTGTCATTCTTCCTAAGAATAAGTTAAATGAATTATTATTTTTTGAATTGAGTGACTAATATATTTGATAGTGGACTCTTGACAACAAATTTTGCATTATAGTATAATAAAACAAGAAAGGAAAGCTAACTTCGGGCGGAGCCGAAGTTGATATACCCTTGCAGAATACTCTGTAAATTATATTCTCCAAAATTATTCATATGATGCATTCTTAATACTCATAAAAAATCCCAACTTCCTAACTTTAAAAACACCAAAGTTATGGCATTTCCAATCGTTCAGTTATATGGCAGCTATAGGATATAGTCGGCCGATCCTTATGAAATTTGATAGGTCGGATTGATTGGCTAAAAATAAAACAGATAGAAAATCCCAACTTCCTAACTTCACAAACACCAAAGTTATGGCATTTCCGATCAATCAGTTATATGGCGGATATAGGATATAGTCGGCCGATCCTTATGAAATTTGGTAGGTCGGATTGATTGGCCTAATATAAAACCCATAGAAAATCCCAACTTCCTAACTTCACAAACACCAAAGTTATGGCATTTCCGATCAATCAGTTATATGGCAGCTATAGGATATAGTCGGCCGATCCCGGCCGTTCCGACATATATACTGCGTGCAAAGGAAAGAAGGGTGTGTGCAAAGTTTCAACTCGATAGCTTCAAAACTGAGAGACTAGTTTGCGTAGAAACAGACAGACGGACAGACGGACAGACAGACGGACAGACGGACATGGCTATATCAACTCAGGAGGTGATCCTGATCAAGAATATATATACTTTATAGGGTCGGAGATGTCTCCTTCACTGCGTTGCACACTTTTGACCAAAATTATAATACCCTCTGCAAGGGTATAATTAGCGATAAGAAACGAGATAGTGTCGATTTAGTGTATGAGCATTAATGGATTATAATGGTTACCTACGTTATCATAAACAATGAAACCAAAAAATGAGCCACTGATTTTTCATAAAAATTATCAAACCAATTATATAATCAATTCTTCTGTAACGGAGATTTTGTGTATTTGTTATCCATTAGATTGGGTGTTTTTATAAATTGTACTTTTCTCGTCTTAACGCAGTAAAACATTCAAGTTTATCTGTACAAAATATATATAAAAAAATATATACATGTGTCAAGGTCATCCAATATGAGTTATTTTTTAGTGAAGGGATTTCATATTTTTCAAATATATAGATGAAAGCCAAATGAAACAACCTTTTTAGTTTCTTGATTGTTACATAACTATTAACTGCGTTTTGTAACACCACAAAGTTATCTTTTTTGCATTAGAACGTGGTTTAATATTTGAGCAGAAAAATTTCATTCATGAAAGACAAACAAGTCTGATTGTGTAATGCTTATACCAATTTGTTAGCTAAACTCACCTTTCAAGTCTGCCAGAACCTTCCTTAACGTCACATCTTTAATGTTTTTAATGGGTTTTTTCAGCTCAAAAGGGGAGATAATGGTCACCTGATGTCCTGCGCTGGCTAATCCCTTGGCCAGAGCAGATCCCACATGGTAATGGGATCGGGCAGCGGTAGGGAGAACCACCAAGTAGTTATAAGCCGATGCACAGCTTAAAAAACAAAGAAACAGCAGGGCCAGAAAACTCTTTTGGCCAGCGGTTGGTTTCATTTTTCCCGTTTTTGGACTTTGATTTCTAACAAGTAATTGCACTTAATTTTGGCCACTTGTGAACTGTTTTTTACGGGGTATATAATATCGCCTCAGCGATTAGGAATAAACTGAAGGCCGCTGCTAGCCTTTGATGGGGTATTTATATGTGGTTGGGTTAGGACCCATTTTGGGGAGAAGGAGACTTCTTGTATTGGTATCTCGGGCGCTTTATCGCTCTCATGACCAGCAACAGTACACTCAAGATCTCTCTTCATATCTATGATTATCTATTATCGTTACGCTGCCGAAATCGAACAATCAATTTGTGTAGGCTACTCACGATACAAACGCTCTCACCTGTTTTCTTTGCTTTGTTTATAATTTCAGTCAAAAGTTTGCAACGCAGTGAAGGAGACATTTCCGACCCTATAAAGTATATAATCTTGATCAGCATCACCAAGAGAGTCGATCTAGCCATGTCCGTGCTTCTGTCATACCTAATCCCATTGCACTTATTAATGGATAGCGCAGAATGACCGGCTTCTTGGCAAAATCCAGAATCTTCGCCAAACTATGGGATAGAAATGAGTACAGCTAAATAAAGTTAAATGGTAACTATTTGAAAAACATTTAATTATTAAACAAATTTAAAAAATGTCAAGCTTAGTTGACAAAAATTATATTATTATTTGAAGCATTTCGAGTTTAAAGGTATTTGTGTAGTTAGGGATAACTACTTCAAAAAATAAAAGATTTTAATATAATTTCCAATACATATTAGCAATTTGGATAAATTTCTAACAATTTTTATTTGAGTGAAAAAGTTCTCAAAAATTATGAAATGGAATATATTTTTAAAACACGGCAATACCAACTAATTTTTTGTTGACCCATTAAGAATTAGGCAAGTTTTCATCTTATCAGATTACAAATGACAATTCAAAGATAAGACTCACCTCCAATTACGGTGATAATAATTGGTGTGTCGACATCGATTAAATTTTTAGAGGTTTCTTTTGGGGAATGACGATATCAGTGTGACTTTCTGACCGGCGTCAACTAAACCATTGGCCAAAGCGATGGTAAGAGTACCCCAAACCTGGCCCAAAAAGGGCACCAAAATAAAAAGTCAATTCTTGAGAAGTCCACAACGCATTTTCACAGCACTTTCAGAAGTTTTTAACCAAAATGAAGAGCGACTGTTTTTGAGCTGTTAACTATTGGATTTGATAAGAGTGGATAAGAGTTGTGAGTGGATACGTTTGAAGTGGTTATCCTACACATTGGTGGTCTTACGCGCATTATCTCTTTATTTAATTTTCGGCTTACATTTTCAGCTATAGCTCACTCAACAGTCGCCTTTATCTACACACTTTTCCACAATCAAACATGTAAGATTACATTTTAGCTTGTGTTCATACTGCGTTGGGCCTCAACCAGTAGAACTTCACAATAAGCTGTCTCTGATATCAATGTTCTGTAAATTTATGTTGAGCGCGGCAAACATTCTCAGTTTGTTAAGAAACGTGGTGGGTGTCAGTTCCTCGATCGATTTTCATCATTATGCGTTTATTGGCCTTTATTTTTGGAATAACAGTTAGCTTGGGATACTCAAATGCTTACAACTTCCTAATGATTCTAAACTCGGCGTGTCATTCGCATTTTAATGTGGGTCATGCCTTGGCCAAGGGATTGGTCAATTCAGGACATGAGATTACTGTAGTTTCCGTGTTTCCTCTGAAGAATCCCATACCAGGTTATCATGATATCAATGTACCAAATGTGATTAACGTAATGAATGGTAAGTACAAATATTATTATTTAAGAAACTATTTAATTTTTTAATTTAACTTTATTAAATCAAATTTTAAAATTTTTTTAGGAGACATTGCTGCTTTGTGGGAATCCATCCAAAAACCAGTAACTCAGAAGCTCATTGATTACTATCAAATGGGATTCCGCATAACAAGAGGACTTTTCGAGGACTCCAATTTCCAGGATTTTTTAAGGAGCAATCAAAGTTTCGATGCCGTGATTTGCGAGACCTTTTATAATGATGCCCACTATGGCTTAGCAGAACACTTCAAGGCCCCACTCATTGGATTGAGCACGGGTGGAGGTCTGACCTTTATCACAGATATGGTAAGTAAATCTCCACCGAATTTATCGTGAGTTTTCGTAAATAAAAAATGATCATAACATGCATCGGAATTAAAGAGTAATAAAGCTTACAAAATTTTGCGATAAATGTTTTAAGTAAATTCAAGTAACTATCTTACAATTTATTAACGTTTCGTAATTTCAGAATAATAAAGTTTACAACTTTTAAGCGATAAATCTTTAAGGCGTTGAAATTTGTACACACCCTTGAGTTTTATTATCCCATTAAGATTTATCTTTAGGATTAAGTTCTATGTTTTCCTAAATGGTTTAATTTAATATTTGCAACCCGTTTCCAAAGTAGGATATTTTATTGGACCTACTAATTTATAATTCATTTATAATTTTCATTTTTAGGTTGGATCACCAGCTCCAGCTTCGTTTGTGCCCCACATAATGTTGCCCTTCAATGATCACATGTCGCTCTATGATCGCCTTCTAAACGTGGCTTTCCTTGCCTATGAACGATTTCTACTAGACTACTATTATTTACCGGGACAGGAGCAGCTCTACAAGGAGTTCTTCCCGGACAACAAAAGGTGTTTCTACGAAATGCGCAGGAATGCCTCGCTGGTGCTCATCAACCAGCATGCGTCCCTGAGTTTCCCACGACCTTACTCACCCAACATGATTGAAGTGGGTGGCTTCCCGAGAAGATCGGAAGATTTATCAATGAATCGGAGCACGGAGCCATCTACTTCTCCATGGGTTCGAATCTCAAGAGCAAGGACTTGCCGCCAGGAAAGATTCAAGAGATTCTGAGAGCGTTCCGTGGACTGAAACAGCGAGTTCTTTGGAAATTCGAACTGGAGGATCTGCCCCAAAAGCCAGAGAATGTATACATCTCGGACTGGTTCCCACAGACCGACATTCTAGCCCATCCGAAGGTCTTGGCTTTTGTGACCCACGGAGGAATGCTGAGCACCACGGAGTCCATTTATCATGGCAAACCAGTCATCGGATTGCCGATCTTCAGCGACCAGTTCTTCAATATGGCCCATGCCGAGCAGACTGGCTATGGCATTATGCTGGACTTTAAATCCCTGAAGGCCCAGGATTTCCGGGAGGCCATCGAGAGGATTACCAGTGAGCCGGCCTACACTAGAGTGGTGCAGGGCATGTCCTTCCGGTATCGGGATCAGCAACAGACGCCCCTGGAAAATGCCATATACTGGGTGGAACATGTGACCCGTCACCAGGGAGCTGCCTACTTGCGGAGTGCGGCCCAAAGACTGAATTGGTGGCAATATTACAATGTGGATGTGCTTTTAATAATTGTAGGGTTAGTTATATTTCTGGGAATCGTTGTTCTTCTTGCTATTTTTAAGCTGTTTAGGAAATTCCTTTCTGGGGGAAAGAGAAAAGAAATGAAAGTTAAAATTAACTAAAGATGCCCTTTTTTAATGAAAATTACAAAAGCTAGGTCTGAATAATAAAAAAAGTACATATGTATACATATACTTCAGAATGAAGGTATTAAAACTTTCTTTCTTGTTTTTTTTTTACATTTTTATTATTATTGAATAATTTCTTAGCTTGAAAAAAAGTTATTTCTAATATTGCAAGTTTTATATATATTGATTTAAATAATCATAATTGAAACCCTATTTAAACAAATAAGTGGGGTTTATGAGTATAAAGTTTTCTTAGCATCTTTACTGGCCTTGCCTTTTTATTTTTTGAAATTTATTTATTAAGCTTTAATGGTAATGGCAAACATGGGGATGGAAATAATTGTTAATGTTTTGTCTTCACAGCCCTTCCCATAATATTACTAATTTGATAATTAAATAATTTTTATACCCTTGCAGAGGGTATTATAATTTTGGTCAAAAGTGTGCAACGCAGTGAAGGAGACATCTCCGACCCTATAAAGTATATATATTCTTGATCAGGATCACCTCCTGAGTTGATATAGCCATGTCCGTCTGTCCGTCTGGCTGTTTCTACGCAAACTAGTCTCTCAGTTTTAAAGCTATCGAGTTCAAACTTTGCACACACCCTTCTTTCCTTTGCACGCAGTATATATGTCAGAACGGCCGAGATCGGCCGACTATATCCTATAGCTGCCATATAACTGATTGATCGGAAATGGCATAACTTTGGTGTTTGTAAAGTTAGGAAGTTGGGATTTTCTAGAGGTTTTATTTTTGACCAATCAATCCGACATACTAAATTTCATAAGGATCGGCCGACTATATCCTATAGCTGCCATATAACTGAATGATCGGAAATGCTATAACTTTGGTGTTTGTAAAGTTAGGAAGTTGGGATTTTCTATGGGTTTCATTTTTAGCCAATCAATCCGACCTATTAAATTTCATAAGGATCGGCCGACTATATCTTATAGCTGCCATATAACTGAACAATTGGAAATGCTTTAACTTTGGTGTTTTTAAAGTTAGGAAGTTGGGATTGAGTATTAAGAATGCATATTATGAATAATTTTGGAGAATATAATTTACAGAGTATTCTGCAAGGGTATATCAACTTCGGCTCCGCCCGAAGTTAGCTTTCCTTTCTTGTTTAACTTAAACTAATTTATTTTCTTTTTTAGACTTTTAGACCTTAGTTTACTGCCTTTTACTTTAATAATCACAAGACGTATTGTGAAAAAGATTAAAAGAAAAACCAAGCCTATAACCGCAAAGAACACAGCCAGCACATCCAAATTATGGTATTCCACGAAGTTCAGATCCTGACAGGCACTTCTCATGTACTTAGCTCCCTTTTGTCGAGTCACATGCTCCACCCAGTACACAGCCCTCTCCAGAGGCGTTTCCTTCTGATCCCGGAACTGATTGGACATGATCTTGACCCGTTCAAGGTAGCTGGGATCACTGGTGATCCTATCGATGGCAGACCGGAACAAAGGAGCTGTGAGTTGGGCGTAGTTTACGGTGATTCCATATCCCGATTGTTCGGCCTTTGCCATGTTCATAAACTGATCGCCGAAAAAGGGAATTCCCACGACCGGTTTTCCATGGTAAATCGATTCCATGGTGCTCAAAAGTCCGCCATGGGTTATGAAGGCAATCACTTTGTCGTGTGCCAGAATATCGTCTTGTGGGAACCACTTCGATACAAATACATTATCGGGTTTGTCAGCAAAGGTTTCCTCCTCATACTTCCAAAGTACCCGGTACTTAAGACTCCTTAAAGTCTCCACAATTGCTTTTCGTTTCTCCTTGGGCAAATCTTTGCTTTTCAGATTGGAGCCCAATGAGAAATAGATTACCCCGTGCTCGGCTCCCTCGACGAATTCCCGAATATCCTTGGGCAGGGGCTTCGGCTCCTTGCGATTCACGTGCATGCCACCCACTTCGATCATATTTGGCGAATACGGACGTGGATTGCTCAGCGAAACATGATTGTTTAGCAACACCAACGAAGTACTTTTGCGCATCTCATAGAAGTCCTGTTTGTTGTTGGGAAAGTATTTCCTATACAGCACTTCGTGTCTGGGTAGATTGATCAAGTTCTGGTAGAAAAATTCGTATATCTGGAATCCCAGATTTTGGGCTCGCTCCCAGAAGTTCATGTGGTCACCGAAACGGAGTAAATTATGCGGCACATACGAAGGTGGTGAGGGAGTGCCCACCAAATCTGAAGTCCATCCTGTAGCTCCCAAAGAGCTCAGGGTGATCAGTGGAGCTCCAAAGTGTTCGGCAAATCCGTAGTGGGCGTCGTTCATGAAGCTCTCGCAGATGACTCCATCGAAGGTACGGTTTTGACCCAACAGCTCCTTCACCGCCGGAGCCTTAAAAAGAGCTTCTGTCAAGTCCAATCCCATTGCACTCATATATGGATAGCGCAGAACGACCGGTCTCTTGGCATTCTCCAGAATCCTCGCTTTGTAAACTATTGGATACAAATAAGTGAAGGTAAATAGAGAAGTTTAAGTTCTTTTCTTGAAATAATTTTTGATATTTAGCAAGCAAATATATTTATCAAACAATGAAAAAGATTTATGGCATTTTTTTACATACCTAAAAAGCTATAACTTTGTATAAATTGAATAGAATTATATTTTTTAGCATTCAGAATCTGATTCTGAGGTTATGCATAACTTCTACAAAATATAAGATTTTTGTTCTTCTGCTTAGGTAATTTAATTTGTTTTAAACCAAATATTAAAGCAATTTCGAAAAATAACAATACAAAATTAAATCTTTTAATAAAAGCCGACAAAAGCAACCAATTTGTTGTTGACCCATTGAGAATTAGGCATGTTCTACCTTATCAGATGACGCAAAATTATTCTAAGCGATAAGAAATTACGTGCCAGTTAGCGAATAAGTTTTACTAAACCACTTAAAAATAAGACTCACCTTCCATTACGGTGATAATATTTGGTGTGTGAATATCGATTAGATTTTTGACGGGTTTCTTCTGGGGAAATGGCGATATCAATGTGACCTCATGACCGGCGGTAGTTAAGCCTTTGGCCAACGCCAATCCTACGTCGTGATGTGATTTAGATGCAGTGTGGCTCACCAACAGGAAAGAGTAGCCCCAAACCTGGCCCAAAAAGGGCACTAAAATAAAAAGCCAAGAATTGAGGAGCCAACAACGCATTATGACAGCACCTTCGGAAGTTCTAACCAGACTGAAGAGCGACTGCTTTTGTAGCTGCTAGTTATAGAATTTGATAAGATAAGTTGTGAGTGGATTAGCAATACGTTTGAAGAGTTTTTACAAATTGATATATTATTTTGGGTACAATATACTAAAAACTAATTTTCTGGTTAAGCTTTATCTGTATTAATTTGTTTAAGTTTTACTTTACTTTGTCATTTATAAGAAAAATTAACAAATAGATCTTAATAATTGTTAAATAATAAATATATATTTTAATAAATTTAATATTATAATTTTCATTATACTTAATATTTTCAAGTTCTCTTTATTTTTTCTTGTTCTCTTACACGCATTATCACTTAATTCTTCTCACTACAAAATACTCTTTGCTTAATAGCTTTTGAGTTGAGTCAAACGAGTTTTGTTTGTGTGTGCTCTTTTGAGAACTTAAGTGGTTTAATTCATATGCTGATTGATCAGCACAATTCACTTCTTGACACTACACTACATATTTAAACACTCTTGATATTTATACAATAGTAAAGCCAAAATAAACTGGCTTAGAAAATAAATATTAGTTGTTTATATTGGAAAAATATGAACTTACGAATAAAATCAACTAGTTACAGTAATGTTTGACTAATATTTTCAGCTATAGCTCACTCATCAGTCGACTTGACCTACACAATTTACTACAATCAAACAAGTGTGTTTACCTTTTGGCTTCTGTCCACACCGTGCTGAGCCTCACGCAAATTAAGAATTTCACAATAATCGAGTGGAAATGATATCTATATAAAGATATGTTGAGCACGGCAAACATGCTCAGTTTGTTAAAGCAGCGTGCTCTGCTCGGTTCGGTTATAAGTTCCTCGATCGATTTTCAGCATCATGCGTTTATTGGCCTTCATTTTGGGAATAACAATTAGCTTTGGATTCTCAAATGCTTACAATTTCCTAATGATTCTAAACTCGGCGGGACGGTCGCATTTTAATGTGGGTCATGCCTTGGCCAAGGGATTGGTCAATTCAGGACATGAGATTACTGTAGTATCCGTATTTCCCCTGAAGAATCCCATACCAGGTTATCACGATGTCAATGTACCAAATGTGATTAAAGTAATGCGGGGTGAGTATAATATTACGATTATTTTTGTACCCTTGCGGAGGGTATTATAATTTCAGTCAAAAGTTTGCAACGCAGTGAAGGAGACTATATCATAAAGCTCCCATAGGAACAATCGCCAAAAAAAATATAAAAAAAGTATAACTTTGTTGTTTTTAATTTTTTTTTTAATTTTTGGTATTTGGTAATATTAAAATACTATGGTATTACGAATTTATTCCAATTAAAATCGGACAAAAATATCTTGTAATTGAGTGACCCAAAATTTGTCTTCTAGAGTCCATAACTTTACCAAATTAAAGCCGATTCCAAAGTGGCATACCTCTAAAGACTTGTGGTTCGATTCTCTAAAAATCTGCATTCAACATTTTCAATTTACCGTTGATCAAATTTTTAACCCATTTTCATGTTAGTTATTTCTAATTTTCCAATATATTGTAATAGAGTGACCCAAAATTGGTCTTCGAGAGACCATAACTTTACTAAACTTAAGTCGATTCCAAAGTGGCATACCTCTAAAGACTTGTGGTTCGATTCTCTAAAAATCTGCATTCAATATTTTCAATTTACCGTTGATCAAATTTTTAACCCATTTTCATGTTAGTTATTTCTAATTTTCCGATTGCTTGTTTAACGTTGACCCAAAATTGGACTTCTAGAGTCCATAACTTTACCAAACTTAAGCCGATTCCAAAGTGGCATACCTCTAAAGACTTGTGGTTCGATTCTCTAAAAATCTGCATTCAATATTTTCAATTTACCGTTGATCAAATTTTGAACCCTTTTTTATGTTAGTTATTTCTAACTTTCCAATGTCTTGTAATAGAGTGACCCAAAATTGGACTTCTAGCGTCCATAACTTTACCAAACTTAAGCCGATCCCAAAGTGGCATACCTCTAAAGACTTGTGGTTCGATTCTCTAAAAATCTGCATTCAACATTTTCAATTTACCGTTGATCAAATTTTTAACCCATTTTCATGTTAGTTATTTCTAATTTTCCGATTGCTTGTTTAACGTTGACCCAAAATTGGACTTCTAGAGTCCATAACTTTACCAAACTTAAGCCGATTCCAAAGTGGCATACCTCTAAAGACTTGTGGTTCGATTCTCTAAAAATCTGCATTCAAAATTTTCAATTTACCGTTGATCAAATTTTTAACCCATTTTCATGTTAGTTATTTCTAACTTTTCAATGTCTTGTAATAGAGTGGCCCAAAATTGGTCTTCGAGAGATCATAACTTTACCAAACTTAAGCCGATTCCAAAGTGGCATACCTCTAAAGACTTGTGGTTTGATTCTCTAAAAATCTGCATTCAACATTTTCCATTTACCGATGATCAAATTTTTAACCCATTTTCATGTTAGTTTTTTCTAACTTTCCAATGCCTTGTAATAGAGTGACCCAAAGTTGCACTTCTAGAGTCCATAACTTTACCAAACTTAAGCCGATTCCAAAGTGGCATACCTCTAAAGACTTGTGGTTCGATTCTCTAAAAATCTGCATTCAACATTTTCAATTTACCGTTGATCAAATTTTTAACCCATTTTCATGTTAGTTATTTCTAACTTTTCAATGTCTTGTAATAGAGTGGCCCAAAATTGGTCTTCGAGAGATCATAACTTTACCAAACTTAAGCCGATTCCAAAGTGGCATACCTCTAAAGACTTGTGGTTTGATTCTCTAAAAATCTGCATTCAACATTTTCCATTTACCGATGATCAAATTTTTAACCCATTTTCATGTTAGTTTTTTCTAACTTTCCAATGCCTTGTAATAGAGTGACCCAAAGTTGCACTTCTAGAGTCCATAACTTTACCAAACTTAAGCCGATTCCAAAGTGGCATACCTCTAAAGACTTGTGATTTGATTCTCTAAAAATCTGCATTTCAAACTTTACCAAATTCAAGCCGATAATGCACAGACATAGCTTCATTGTTTTTAGTAATATAGGCATACAAATTGAAATTTAGTCGTTTTGTAATAACTGCATGCGTATATAAACTTCGACTTGCCAATGTTTGCTTCCTTCCTTATTTGTAGCTTTATTTTATTAATTAAAAAACTGTGTTTTTTATTAGGAGACATTGCTGCCTTGTGGAAATCCATTCAAAAACCAGTAACTCAGAAGCTTATTGATCACTATCAAATGGGATTCCGCATAACAAGAGGTCTTTTCGAGGACTCCAATTTCCAGGATTTTTTAAGGAGCAATCAAAGTTTCGATGCCGTAATTTGTGAGACATTTTATAATGATGCCCACTATGGCTTAGCAGAACACTTCAAGGCCCCACTCATTGGATTGAGCACGGGTGGAGGTCTGACCTTTATCACAGATATGGTAAGTAATCATTACCGAATTTATTAGGAATTAAAGAATAATAAAGTTTTAGGTTTTGCGATCAATCTTTAACGTAAGTTTCAGACTAGTTAAGATAATTTTATAAATATTTTCCAAAATTCACGAAATACCTTTTGGAGGAATACTCTTCTTATGTTTTTAGACTTAGTACCTTTCTTTTGGCCTACTAATTTATAATTTTTCTTTATAGGTTGGATCACCAGCTCCAGCTTCCTTTGTGCCCCACATAATGTTGCCCTTCAATGATCACATGTCGCTCTATGAACGCCTTCTAAACGTGGCTTTCCTTGCCTATGAACGATTTCTACTAGACTACTATTATTTACCGGGACAGGAGCAGCTCTACAAGGAGTTCTTCCCGGAAAACAAAAGGTGTTTCTACGAAATGCGCAGGAATGCCTCGCTGGTGCTCATCAACCAGCATGCGTCACTGAGTTTCCCACGACCTTACTCACCCAACATGATTGAAGTGGGTGGCATGCATATCGATGGCAATCTAAGCCCGCTTCCCGAGAAGATCGAAAGATTTATCAATGAATCGGAGCACGGAGCCATCTACTTCTCCATGGGTTCGAATCTCAAGAGCAAGGACTTACCGCCAGCAAAGGTTCAAGAGATTCTGAGAGCGTTCCGTGGACTAAAACAGCGAGTTCTCTGGAAATTCGAGCTGGAGGATCTGCCCCAAAAGCCAGAGAATGTCTACATCTCCGACTGGTTCCCACAGACCGACATTCTAGCCCATCCGAAGGTCTTGGCTTTTGTGACCCACGGAGGAATGCTGAGCACCACGGAGTCCATTTATCATGGCAAACCAGTCATCGGATTGCCAATCTTCAGCGACCAGTTCTTCAATATGGCCCATGCCGAGCAGACTGGCTATGGCATTATGCTGGACTTTAAGTCCCTGAAGGCCCAGGATTTCAGAGACGCGATCGAGAGGATCACCAGTGAGCCGGCCTTCACTAGAGTAGTGCAGGGCATGTCCTTCCGGTATCGGGATCAGCAGCAGACGCCCTTGGAAAATGCCATATACTGGGTGGAACATGTGACCCGTCACCAGGGAGCTGCCTACTTGCAGAGTGCGGCCCAAAGACTGAATTGGTGGCAATATCACAATGTGGATGTGCTTTTAATAATTGTAGGGTTAGTTATATTTCTGGGAATCGTTGTTCCTCTTGCTATTTTTAAGCTGTTTAGGAAATTCCTTTCTGGGGGAAAGAGAAAAGAAATGAAAGTTAAAAGTAACTAAATAAATAAATTTTTGCTGAAAATAAAACATTAATAAGTGGATATAAGCGTGAATAATAAGAAGTCTTATGTATATGAAAATTGATGGATAGAAATTTATGAAATACTGATATATCTCGAACAAGAAAGAAAAGTTTTTTTTTTTAACTAAGAATATTCGTAAATGGGTGATCATTGGAATATTGTAATAATTGTAAGACAAACACTATATTTTTGAAAACCTCAGTTACATTTAATAATAGTTCTTTAGACTTTAAATCTTTACATCCTCACAATTTAGATTGTTAAAAGCAATGTAAAACTATAAATGAAAAATAATCCATGCCTATTAAGTTTATTCAATCTATTTAATTATCTCTAACAAACGGTTGTAATTGCCAAACATTTGAATTTCTGCCCCGGTTTCAAATTTCATAGACCCACTTCCATTTTCGAGGCCAAAAACAAATTACTACCTAACAGCATGCTGCACAAAATTGTTTTCATCTTTTCCACCTATTGCACAAACAATTGCTAACTCGCATCGAAAAGTTGGGATGTATTTTCATGGGCTGCCAAAAATACATTTGGCTTTTCCTATTATTGGCCACGTTATCAATGCACACACGTGCCGGTCGCTGATTGATTTCGCTGGGAAACGAGTGAACAATATAAACCAAACGTAAATGCCAAAACAAAATTGGAAAAAAAGACGATGGGGGACAAAAATTTAAATAGGCACTCGAGCATTAAATTAAGCAGCAACAACTTAGTTCGCGGAAAATCAGTCAGAAGAAGTGAGAGCCAAATAGAAAAACACAAGAAGACCCACTGTAGCATCCGCCCTAGTCCACGCCCTCGCAAAAAAGAAAAGGAAACCGCTCCGAGGTGCAAAACGTCTGAAATGAAGGAAATGAAATGTCGAAAAGACGGAATTTTCCCTTGCGCAACACATACGCCAAGCTTTTCCGAGTGTGTTGGTACACAGGGAATAAGTATGATGTATTGCTTATTTGTGTACTTTTAAAATTAAATATAAAATATAAAAATAACTCAAATTAAACTTAAATATAAGTAAATATATATAAATAATAAAATAAATAAATGCAAATAAATTATTTTATTCATACTTTTTTTGCTTATTAAATTTTACCTTTTATTGTATACATAAGAATCAAACATTCTTTTAAAACTTTTATCTATTGGGTTAGACTTTAATATAAATAAATGGAACAGAATTTAATGGCTTATAATTGAATAAAATTATTTTTTTAAAAGAAGATGAACTTAACCCGTATACAAGTTATTTTGTAAAAGTGTAAAAGTGTGTGACATTGAAAAGGCACGTTGAATAAGAGGCAAAGCAAGTGAAGCAGAGAAAAATATGGAAAATATACGTAATGTGAGCCAAAAAGTTAGCTATGCACAAAAACTTTTTTGATGGCGCTGAAAGTGAAAAGTAAATTTACGCTAAAGTCGCCGAAATGCACAGTAAAGGAAAAATAAAAATTGAGAGTTGAGTGGGTTTTTCAGAGCAGAGCGGCTAAATCGGTGAGCAGGGGGAACTTGCAAAAGAATATGAAATGGCAAGAAAAAGCGAAATGAAACGGAAGTTCAAGTTGATTTGTTTGCAGGCTAAGTGGAATTCCCCATCCTTAGCATTTTTACTCACACTCCCACACATTGACAGCCATTTTGCGGAAACGGAAGCTGCGTTTCAATCGCACTTCTGATGAAGTTAACAACAACATCGAAAACAGCAACAACAGATGGCTTTGAGGGTAAATAAATTTAGCATAACAATGCTTGGTAAATTTACGAGTATCTGAGTTTACGGGTACAACGCTGCGTATGCGTATTAGGATTATGATTTTTATTCGCGTATAATGCGCTTCAATTTTAATAGCTTTAAAGTCTGTCTTGGGTTAATTTTTCTCCTCGTAGTTTGTTGTGTCTAATAGGAAAACCCAAAAATGTTCTTCAAAAATAAAAATAACAAGAATTTGAATAATTAATTATACTTTTGGTCATCCAATGGCCAGCCAAAACAAATTGTGTTTCCGTTATCATTTTTTTAAAGAAATCGTATCTTTTACAAAAGCCGTCTTTAATAGACCCCATCACAATGTTGACTTAAAATTACTGAAAATTACTTAAAACTTCAAAACTTAATTGTAACTGTGTATACAATATGTTGAATCAAAATCCAATTTTGAATTTTTTAAATTAATATTTTCAGAACTTTGAATTAAGCAAAAACTTAAATCAAAGTGTCCTCCACCGCAAAGTAGACAAATATTGTATCAATCTGAGGTGCGGAACTCTCGTTTATTATATTCAGAAATTATAAAATTTAAACCTTTTAAAGGGCATACCTTTTCGGGGCACACGATTTTCATTTCGCTGTTTTTTAAATATCTTGGGGCTATGATTCATGCATGTGATTTCTGCGGTTCTTAATGTCGCAGTATCGTAATTAAAAAGTGCACTGCAGCGCCGTGGGTATTATTTTGTTCTTATTTCTGTTTTTTTGTTTGGGTTTCCCTGATATATCACACGTTTCCCCGACCTCCTATTGCCCCCACCCCATCGGCATATGCAGAGATTGCGCTCTTGAAATGACAGTTGCACTTGCACCATGACAATGCGCCCGAAATGGAAAATGGGGCTGGGAAATGGGGTGGGAAAATCAGTGTGGGGGCGCTATGCAGCGGGGCAAATTGATTGCGATTGTTGAGTTGATTGGCAGGCGACACACACACATATATATATAGATTGACTGCATGCGACACTGGCAAACAAAAGCGCCGCTTTGTGGTTTTCATTGTTGATGCCTTTTTTGCTCCCTTTTCGCCTTGCTCCTTTCTCCTTGTTAAAGCTCCTTTTTTTATACCCATTTATTTTCTGTTGTCGTTAAAATTAAGTTCGTTTTGTCTTTCGATTTTTTTGACATTTTTAACACGCGCAATTTACAAGATAGTATACTGCACAGCTTAGACAAAGAAAAAATTCAGTGTGTGACGTTGTACTTGTACATTGGCATTTGCATTTGCTTTGATTGGAAGTTTTTTATAGCAAAGAACTATCAATTATAATAAGGAACTAACAAAGCAACGTTCCATTTATTGTATCATATTTTTTAAAAAATTTTGAACACTAGAAGTAATCTTTTTGTTGTTCCCAGTGAACTAATTAATTTAATATATTTAACATTTGAAAATTTGTTTATAAAGTAAATTTAAAAGATATTTTTTGATTTATGGTTGTTAAACTTTAAATTTAACCAACAAATACGGAATCAAAAACTTTAAAAGCCTAAAATCAAAGGCAGTTTAACCTCTTTAGACTGTTTGTTATTAATAAATTAACCAATTTTAATTTAGCTAAACAATCAAATGTTAGTTTAAGACTTTAGGCTGACCCCAGAGCCAAATGTTTTCATATAATGAAATTCACATTTTCAAGCGCACTTAGTGCCATTTATTTCTGTTTTTTCAGGGTATAAAATAAATTGATTACATTTTTGTAGCCTTTGGCAATCGTTTAAAAGTTAATTGTTGTCGCTGGCGGCAAATGAATAGGTGTAAAGAAAGGTGAGTGATTTACTAAATTATGTTACCAAACTTTATTTTCAGTTTATATTTGAGTCAGTCCTATTGGCGAACAACAAAATCACTCAAATTAAAACTTTAAAGCTGCCTACTTATTCCATTTTCCTTCAGGCACAGCAGCTATTGGGAGACAGAAAAGAAGAGAAGGGCTCTCTTTTTAAATGTTTATGTTTTTTCGCTGGCCTGAGCTCCTTGAAATATTAAAATTAATAATAAATGTTGACGGCATTCATTTGTTGCTGCTGCTACACAAATATGAAGTCTTCATTATGGCCAACGCATTTTGCGTTGTCTATTTTGTCGGTATTCCCTTATTTTACCATATTTCCCACGTACAGTTGGGTTCAAGCCAGTAGCATTAAAAACCGGAAAATATTTTAAGATTATAATGTTTTAGTTGTGCAAAAAAAATAGTTCGGAAACAAAATTTGCGTGCCGATCAAAACATTTATTTTTGGAACTTTTGATTGTATTAATGTATAATAATATTTATCATTTGTATACACTAAATTTATTAATACAACTTTGTTGTTAATTTTTACTTAAAATGATTGAAACTATGTGCTATTTTTCCGTTTTCCTTAGAAAAATGTAATTGTAATTGTTGCATTTAATATTTTGTATTATTATTGTGACCTTAAATGTTCGCTCCTCTCTTTCCATTTGGCTCTGATTTTTATTTCTTTTGGCAATTTGTGCAGTTGATGTTTCTTTTCGCTCTTTTCCCATTTTAACTCGCATTTGCTTCGTTTTTCTGCTAAATTAAATTTTATTTAACTGTTATGCATGAAATTAGTTACAATTTTTATTTTCATGCTGCTTTGTCTGCACTCTTCACACACACACGCACACCCGAAATGGCCGCTAATTTCTTTTTAAATTATTTAACAATTTGCGTCTGCCAATTGCCAGTTGTTTTTGTGCTGGCAGAACAATCTAATTAGGCGCCGGAAGAAGAGGAACGATAATAACGCTGACGACGCCGATTTGTTTTATGCCAATTTACTTGGCAACATTTGTCGTTAATGCGACAGCAAAGAAATTTGGCATTTTCTCAAAAATGCGGAAATCCCGTCTGCTGCCCCAAAAACAGGCATAATTGGGCGGAAATACATAAATTAGGGTGAATAGATTGGCAAAAGGAGACAATGAATATTTGTTATCCACAGTGATAAGTTTTTTCTTTTTTGATTTTAATTTGAAAAAAGTTTATTTTCAGATTGTCAACACACAAATGAAACATACTTATTTTTGTTATGCCTATAGATATTATTTCCGCTGGTTTTAATCTTTTTAAAAGTTCGTTCATTCCGTTCTAAAACTGCAACTCTGCGATTGTAAATTTTCCCCTGAAAAGATAACTGTAAACCGATTTATTTACTCAGTAAAGTATAAAAATCACGTATAAAATAAGTGCAATAAGAGCGGTAAAACGATGGGCCATATGTAATAAAATTACGGCAGTGGTACTACCTTAAGTGGCAGTTTTCTGATTGGATCGGGCGAAGAACCGGGCATCG